TGCAGGCGAAGCGCTACGCGGAGAAGAGGAAGTTCGGGTTCGTGGACGCGCAGAAGGAGGACATGCCGCCCGAGCACGTGCGCAAGATCATCCGCGACCACGGCGACATGACCAACAGGAAGTTCCGGCACGACAAGCGGGTCTATCTGGGGTGCGTGCTGCGCCGTGCGGGGTGGGCCGGGCCGGTGCCGCGTGCGGGAGGCGCGCCCGCGTGGCGGGAGGCGCCGTGAGGGTGGCCGGGCGGCTTGTGACGGAGCGGTCGTGCCGCAGGGCCCTGAAGTACATGCCGCACGCCGTGCTGAAGCTGCTGGAGAACATGCCGATGCCGTGGGAGCAGATCCGAGACGTGCCGGTGCTGTACCACATCACGGGCGCCATCTCCTTCGTGAACGAGATCCCGTGGGTCATCGAGCCCGTGTACATCGCGCAGTGGGGGTGAGCCGCCGCGGCCCTCGGGCCTGGGGGGTCTGGGGCGCTTCTCGAGCTGGCGGGGCAGGGCGGGCCGTGTCTGACGGTGTCGGGTTGCGCCAGGTCCATGTGGATCATGATGAGACGTGAGAAGAGAGACCGGCGTCACTTCAAAAGGATGCGGTTCCCCCCCTTCGACGACGAGGAGCCGCCTCTCGACTATGCCGACAACATCCTGGACGTGGAGCCGCTGGAAGCCATTCAACTGGAGCTGGACCCAGAGGAAGACGCCCCCGTGCTGGACTGGTTTTACGACCACCAGCCCCTGAAGGACAACAGGAAGTGAGTACCCTTTCTCGGCAGCGCGTTTCATTGCAAAGCGTCGTGCGGCGCCGCCGAAACGTGTGGCTGTTGGGAGGACAGCAGCAGACGCCGTGCGCGGCCGTGCGGCGCGGGGGGTACCGGAGTGTGAAAGCTGTCCTGGGCCCTTCCGTGTCTGCGGAGAGCACGCGGGACCCGGACACTTGAGGTTCCTTCTGGCCAGACCTCTGCAACGAGATGAAACTCGGCGTATCTTCCAGGGAAGCGCAAAGGACTGAATCTGGAGTCAGAGCAGCGTTTCCAGAGAACTTCGCGCGTAGTGTTTAGAGAGTATCGTCTGCTGTGAATGGACCGGCCGCATTATGCTTTGGCCAGCCAAACCTCCTGGGGAAAATTGCGTTGGCATGTTGTGCTGTCTGTCAGGTTGCTTGCTACGGTCCCAAGTGTTAACATCTAAATCTTGGGTATAGGGGTAGAGAGGGGAGTTTGCTCGGTAGCAGGTAGAGGTGCGCGTTGTCTGGAGCGGACTGGAATAAATACGCAGTCGTCCCTCCTTTTGCGGAGGGAACGGTGAGATGACTTGCTTTCCTGTTTGCAGTAAATGGGATGGGGCAGAGAAGGCGCTTGAAGGGTCAGTCGCCTTCTGGCCTGGCGGTGACTGGTCGGTGCGGTGCTTTCCTCGCAGGTACGTGAATGGTTCCACATACCAGCGCTGGCAGTTCACACTCCCCATGATGTCCACCTTATACCGCCTGGCCAATCAGCTGCTGACTGATCTTGTGGATGACAACTACTTCTATCTGTTTGATCTGAAGGCCTTCTTCACTTCCAAGGCCCTGAACATGGCTATTCCCGGGGGTCCAAAGTTTGAGCCTCTTGTTCGAGACATTAACTTGCAGTAAGTGCTGAGCTGGGGACAGGAGGGAAGATGGGTGTTGCCTGGTCTGGGAGTGGGATCCTCAGTGTGCTGCGCGATTTGTCCCAGGCCAAATGCTGTTG